CAAATTCGCTGATGCAGTGAGCCTTTCTATACATGAAATCCATCAACTCGCTCAGCTGGTAGCAGTGAGGGCCGACGAATTCGTATATTTGTCCTGCTGAGGTTGGATCTCTCACAATAGCAGCAAGCCCTGCTGCAACATCCCCTCCCTAAAAGTATCGTTTGCAGCTGAAACTTCACATTCCAGTGAATGTTGTAAGAACAATTCAAAAGTGCTACGGTACAAATTACAAAAAATACTATATTGTTAAATAAGTTCCGCTAAATTTTTCTGGCTATCTTAATCGCCATTTTTCGAATTTTTGCACATTAATTATACATCTGAAAGCGCTTCTCCTCTTCCATTAATCTTCTGTCGCTTTCCCAAGTCTTTGAATTTTAATTGGATTTTCGTGCGGAGAAATGAAAAGATGGCTGATGAAAAAACCACTTTCTACATCTACTATAATTGAGGCCAGAATAAAGAATAAGTTTAAATCTGTGCTGCTCATGGTAGGGATGCCATGATGTTTCTTGCACTACCACTGAAAATGGTTTGTTATTCAGTTTGGGCCTGTGAGACATATCACACTCTGGTAGGCCATCCACGTTTAATGGATCATCTGCACGACAACCTTCACTGTACTTTTCAATACTTTCTTTAAAGAATTTTCATCTCTTTCAATCAATATAGCCTATGAAAACGAAACGTTTCTCTAGTGGCTCCATGGCCGAGACGTGCCGCGTGAATTTTGGCGCATTAGTGTGTAAGATGAGATCCTAAGCTGAAGGGTAAACTGCATTTTGTCTAGTTATTATTAGCATTCGGATACAATATTCTACACAATTTTAAAAAAACAAAATTATAGAAAAACATGTGTGTTCCAATCGCTAATATCTGTCCATATCCAGCCGGAAAATCTAAGCAAAATAAAAAAGTATGGGAAAACGATGAACCCAGTTTGCAGAGCAGGAAAAGCGCTTTAAAAATATATCATCATCTGTGCAAAAAGCCAAAGAGAATTGTGATCAAAATAGCGCGGGAAAAGAACACAAGAGCTCAGGAGCGGCATGAATGATTAAGGTGGCGTAAAAGAGGGCATTGTTTTCAAAGTAAATTTATAATCTAAATATATAACAATTCTAGAAATGTTCACTCACCCAGATTGGCATTTTGTACGTATGCTCTCCTTTTTTATACAAATATACCAAATCCAGTGGAGTCTTCCTGTATCTGCTAACATAATACGCAATAAAGCCATCAAGCTCTCCATATATTAGGGAGGGGCGAACGATAGTGGCAGAAGGAAATTCGTCTCTAACAGCCAGCTCGCCCAGAGCCTTGAGATAGGATAATTTTAAAAAACCAATGGTAATTATGAATGAATGACAAAGACTTGCAGTAAGACTATCTACCTTGCTGCGAAGAAAGTTCGACTGCTTCACGTAGTGTCCTTTCGGTGGATTTTCTGTTGCACCAAGAGCAGACATGTGAATAAATCGTTCGACGCCCATTTCTCGACAGATTTTTGCAAGTCTACGAGCTCCATGCTCGTGTACTTCGTAATATCCATATCTCCTTAAACATAATAGCCATGTCGATCACTAGGATTCGGATTGGCTTATTACACACA